ATACCAAGATGGTGTAGTTGCTACACACACACACACACACACACAAGGTCCATTCACAGGTAGGTACATAACCCCCCCAATACCCTCAAGAAACCTGCTCCCAACCATAGTAAATGTCTCGTAACATTTCCAAAGCGTGACCATGAGGTTCTTGTAATATTCTCATGTTACAAGATATCGAGGAGGTCTGGGGAGATCTTTTTTTTCCAAGGCTATTCTGGAACATTCTCTTGATCATTTGTGGCAGAGGTTCTATCAAAGGAAGGCGAGCAGGGACCCCTAGTCTCCAGGTTTATGCCCCTGCTGTCGTGGCTCCCTGCAGTGAGCTACTTAACTTCTAAGTGCTCCTGGTGATCCGTCCAGCTGTATAAATAAGCAAAATGTTCCATTGTAATTCGGTCTATGCGAATAAACATGTCTGCTGAGCAGATGAACGTCACGCTTAAAACACCGTCGAATTAGGTGTTTTGTACTTCAGTGGTCTCGGAGGATTTTCCGAAAATAGCCCAAAATAATAAACTTAGTTTAAACACAAGATATGTTTAATTCGGTTTGCCATTTGGGAGCCTTGTTTGGTTTGTCTTTTTACATGCAGTGTCTTCCTTCTGGTCTTATTGGTCACACAAGCATGTTTTTTCCATGACTGCCTGGATGTTAAGGCAATGCACTCTGCTTTGGGCTCGCGGAGATTATTGGACTAGCTTTTTTGCAGTGCTCAGTTTTCAATTTCAGCCCTCGAAGCTTTTCATGATGTCCTCGTGCAAGCATTCGCCTGTAGAGGCCAAAGTGAAGACACAGGAGTAAAAGTGCGTGTGAGTTCCTATGATGAGTGATCAGTATCCAGTGGGTGCTTTTGGTGCAACGCATTACTAGTGACATAGATCAAATGGACAGAGAATCCTGGGTCATGAAGGTTGCTATGAGTTGTGCCCTCTGTGCAAGGTCAGGTCACCCTGAACCAGACCAAACACGTTCCTCTTTGCTCGGTCCCCGAAGCCCCCGCTTACCACCATAGGACAGCACAAAGGTGAGAGGTAATGGTGACCACCTTCAGCACCCACACATCTGGGCTGGACCATCTATCCCCTCATAATTTTCCTCCCTCTTCCATATTTCCTCCTAGACAAAAATTAGCAGCTCCTCTACAATAGTAATGCACAGCGCATCTCTCAAAAGCTACTGCTTATTTATTTTCTTTGAAGATATCAAACAAAACTGGCTCACACCCTTACTAATTTACTTGGCACATCCTTACTCATATCCTTACTAATTCACTTGGCACATCCTTACTCATATCCTTACTAATTCACATGGCACATTCTTACTCACATCCTTACTAATTCACTTGGCACATCCTTACTCACATCCTTAATAATTCACTTGGCACATCCTTACTAATTCACTTGGCACACCCTTACTAATTCACTTGGCACATGCTTACTCACACCATTACTCACATCCTTACTAAATCACTTGGCACATCCTTACTCACAGCCTTACTAATTCACTTGGCTCACCCTAACTCACATCCTTACTAAATCACTTGGTACACCCTTACTAATTCACTTGGCACACGCTTACTCACACCCTTACTCACATCCTTACTAATTCACTTGGCACACCCTTACTCATACCCTTACTCACACCCTTACTAATTCACTTGGCACACCCTTACTCACACCCTTACTAATTCANACACCCTTACTAATTCACTTGGCACACCCTTACTCACACCCTTACTAATTCAATTGGCACACCCTTACTCACACCCTTACTAATTCACTTGGCACGTCTGCCTGAGTAATTTGCTTAATGGGCACTCCTGGGAGGGCACCTCGCCACCGTCAGTCACGTTTAGAGCACATGGCTACCAGCCCCTTCTTTTCAGGAGGGGATCGGCAGCCCGAGTGCACAGTAAGTGGGGGGGGGGGGGGGGTTCTCTGCCCTGAGGCCAAAGTTCAAACTTTGTGCCAAATGAGATCATTTTTAGCCCTGACTGCTGGTGTTCACAGCAGACCTCAAATTTAAATGCACCCAAAGAACAGCCCTAAAATAAAGGACAGAGAAGGGCAGCGATGGCTGTCCTAACTCCATGGGAAAATGCTCAATGTGCTGAGAGAGATTGTACCCACAGGCAGCCAGACCTTCATGAACGGGAAGACGAGACGTTTAAGCCAATAATAAAAAGCTCGGAGCAGATGAGCATGAAGCTCTGCATTCAGCTACTATCAGATCTTCTAATCTGGTGATCTTGGCACTAGCTTGTTGTTTCTGGTCACCGTTAAGTTAAAAATAAACAGCTCTTTGGAAAGTAGCTAGAAGCATCCTGTGTGGAGCGCAGGGGCGGACTTACCTTAAGGAGAGGGGAGGCAGCTGCCTGGGCCCCCGAAAACTAGGAGCCCCATGAGGACAGAATTTCCAGAAGTTACATTTAAAGATGTAACATAATATGATCATTTAGATGATAGCAACATGTCTGTTATTTGCATTTTAGTGACAGTTTACAGGGTAGACAAAGTTGCCCCCGTCCCAGCTGTAATGGACTATTCTACTTTGAGACTTTGCGCTACCCAGCTTTCTCTTACCACTGGAGTCCACTGGCTGTTCACTGGCAAGCAAACTGGCCAAAGTAACAAGAAGAAAACGGCACAAAGATACAAGGCTGACATCACATCTCCCTCGTCTGATACTGTCTCGCTAGAACGAAAGACGACTGACGTGGAGAGAACACAACTAAACGAACATATGCAAAAATTCAGGACTAGCCTTAGCAAAAGAGGGAATAGAATTTGGCTTCTGGCGTGATACTACCCCCCACCCCCCATCAGCGAATTTTACTGATCAATGAGTTTTACTGCTGACATCCCACGCTTTGATTAGACTATTATTCCTGTTACATTGTTTATAATTCTCTTTCGGCTCCAAAAATATCTCCAAGGACCCACTTGGGGGGCCCCCCACCCATGTCGGCCTAGGGCCCCCAGAGAAGTTCGTCCGCTCATTGCAGAGCGTGACTGCTTGAGGCCAAGGGGAAGAGTGTCTGCACTGGCAGTCAGGCCACACGGGATGCAGAGCAGTAAATCCCAGCCCCGCTCCTCAGTGACGCTTGTTTACCGCAGGCTCTTCCCCCGAAAAGGCCGCGGGGCAAAGTCCCCTGGCCATTTGCTCACCCTGGTGGCCTCCAAGCGTCGCGGGACGACCGCAGGGCCGTTCCCACTGGGCGCCATCGCTACACGTAGCCGATGCGACACATCCACATGCCAAGACGTAGAGGATAAATTCAGATTCAGATTCAGATTCAGAATACTTTTTTGATCCCTGAGGAAATTATGTGGTTACAGTTGCTCCCGGACAGTAAGAAAATTATTAACAAGTTAATATATATATTATTGTTGTATGTATTATATGTAATTTGTATTATATAAACAATATACAAACAATATCCTAATATATTACAGAAATGAACTATACATGGGGTTCAGTTGAGGTGTTTACTTGTAGGGCAGTGTAGTGTAATACTTGTGCTTATATGGAGGCGTGGTACAGACAGAGAGCCACAGGCAGGAATGATTCGGTTCATTCAGTGGAGCATTTGGGTAATCTTAGCCTCTCACTGAACGTGCTCCTGTGACTGTCCAGCACGTCATGGAGTGGGTGGGAGGTATTGTCCAGCATTGTCCAGAACTTGGACAACATCCGCCTCTCCGACACCACCTTTAGAGGGTCCAGCTCCATCCCCACAATGTTACTGGCCTTGCGGATCAGTTTGTTGAGTCTGTTGGCATCCGCTACCCAGCATGCAACAGCGTAGAGTGTGAGACTGGCCACAACAGACTCATAGAAAATCCTGAGCATTGTCTGACAGATGTTAAAGGACCTCAGCCTCCTCAGAAAATATAGGCGGCTCTGGCCATTTTTGTACAGTGACGTTGTGTTTTTAACCCAGTACAGTTTATTGTCGATGTGTACTCCGAGGTATTTGTAGTCCTCCACCATGTCCACATCAAGCCCCAGGATTGAAACAGGGGTCACTGGTTTTCTGGTCCTCCTAAAGTCCACAATCAATTCCTTTGTCTTTGTCACGTTCAGCTGCAGATGATTCTGCTCGCACCACGTGACAAAGGAATCCACCACTGCCCAGTACTCCGTCTCATCACCACCACCGATGCATGCAGCCACTGCAGTGGGCTTTATTATTAGTAGATGTATTATTTCTATACACACATCCATCTTCCCACCACTTATACTGGTCGGAGCTGCAGGGTATTGTTATTAATTCCAAACACATAACATATTTTACATATTTCGTCTTACGTTTGTTTAAACACTAACGTCCTCTGGCAATGCTAGCTGTTTGCCCTGGCAAAAAAAGCAAAGTGAAACTGAAACTTAACTGACCTCTGTCTGGGAAGAAGTTTGGTTTTATAGTGGTTTTTCTATCGTACATTCAGCCTGAGACTGTTTAGTGAGTTTTGTGTGTGTGTGTGTGTGTGTGTGATGTTCAGGGTCTGCCGTGTGTTTGAGACGCATAGTTACAAAAGGAAAGCCTTTCTCTGGACTGTCACAAGATCAGTTCCTTAAACACCACAGAACCCTAATCACAGATATCATTCTCACAGACGAGGGTTCCCCAAAAGGGGGAGAAAGTTAGGGTGATTCCAAGGGGCCCCTGAGTGACAGGGGTCTTATAAAATTTGGGAACATAATTGGATTGGTGTGTTGGGGACCTGACAGGATATGCTTTCACCGGTATGTTCTTCAGTCGGATCCTCGGTTCCTGTGACCTTTTATCCTTAGGAATCATCCGCACTCTGCGGGTCATGGGGTCAGATCACAAAGACAACAAGATGTCATCCGATGTGGGAGGGGGTCCCGGCCTGAGGTGGAGGTCGGCGCTGGACAGGGGACATTGTCTATTCGCATGCACACATTTAGCAGGAGCCCCGGGGGGGGGACACTGCTGCTCCATGGTTTGGGCTTCACTGTTTCCAGGGCCTCTCAGGAGCCAGCAGGAGACGCAGATGCTCTCCTTGACCGATTGTGTTTTCTCAGGGGAGAAAGAAGCACCATCTGTCTGTAAAGTAACACCAAACGACTGACTGGAGGCCAACTGGCAAGACCCTGCAAGGGATTTCTCAGTTCACCATCTAGGAATCGCTCTTCTAAGCTCACATCGCTCTGTTAAGGGAATTATTATGGACCACTCCCTCATTTTCCAGTGATATTTGTCTAAATGTTGTTCGACAGAGGGAAAAATTGTTTTAATTTTCCTGCCAGAGCCTGCATGCATGTCCAAACGCATTGCAGATAATTCTCTTCCCGCTTATTAAGCGGCGACCTGGTGATTTAATCGGCCTCTGGGTTTCCTCATTTTTCCGGTGCCCCTGGTTTGAGGAAATAAATAATAACTTTCAGATTTGAAGCGCTTTTGCCTTACAGCGTTGTAAGCGGACTGAGAGCCTTAGCTGGATCCCCGGGGAACGCAAACAGGCGTTAACTCAGTGTTATTGAGCGTTTCATGTGGGGAAGGCACATTCCGGGCTGTGTTTCGCCGCCGCTCGCCCTTCGGCCCCCATCGCTGCTTGCCAATCGGCCGCCGGGAGTCGCGCCGCTCCGCGTCCGCGTTTTCCCTCTCGCCTGTCAGAAGTGAGAGGAGGGGTACCGATGCGGTCCGATGCCATCTGAAGGCGCCGCCGAGCTCGCTCCGCCGCCCCGAACGCAGCAGGTCCGTGTGTCCCGGTACAGGCAGCTGGTCATTAATCAGGCGGGGATCCGGCGCCGGTATGGAGAGCCGAGTCCCCCCTGAAAGCGAGCGGATAGAGGCATGGCTGGACGACCACCAGGACTTCGCTCATTCCTACTTTTTGAGGAAAGCCACCAGGTAAGCTGATAGGTACGGGACGATCGGCGGGGTTCCAGCGGCTCCCGCGCCCGCAGGGACGCACAAGCGTGTGCAGCGCGGATCGCCGGAGAGGGGAGTCCCAGCTCCCCGGTGCATCTGCGGATTAAAAGACGCCTATAAATTAGCGCTTATAATAACTGGCCGCGTTATCGGTTCCGCATTGAAATCTGTTTTTTCCCTCAAACAATTTAAATAATATTGACGTTGAGTCTATTAATAAATATTTGTGTAGCGTATGCATTATATACAATTTCTGAATGAATAAGTGGTTTCATCTATTATCGTTAACTCTGTGATCGAAAATAATTAATGCACGATAAAAATGTTTGTTGTACTTTACGTTCGGTTAGGGCGGAGTCATATAAAGTGGAACAATTTTACAAAGTGTCTGCAAACACTGAATTTGATGCTGATTTTACTTCGGACTCGTCTCATTTATATGTATTATTTAAATCAGACTTCATATTGTACGACTATAGAATGCGAGCGATTTTAAACCTAATTACTTATATGTTTTGCTATAAGGAAGAAAAGGACTTTGATCCACTAAGAAAATATATTCGTTATAACGTGTAAAATATTTTATTTGAAAAGATTGTCTTTGTCAGCAAGCAAAATGATCCAAAACAGTTGTGACTTGTTTACAAAATCTGAATTTTAAAATATGAAACATCAGTCAGTTTTTACGTAAATTTACCTTTGCCAACCAAACTGCTTTCAAGAATTAAAATCGTTTTCATGTCCTCAAGATGTAATTACCACAACGCCATGTGTGATCGGCTGTTTATGAGACTCTGCGTGGGTCCTGCTCGTCACTAGTCGGTTGTGTTTACGCTGAATTATTAATAGCTTTAATCAAGACTTTTCTTGGTATGAATTTGTTTCCTGTTTCCACTTAATTAAACAGTTCATGGCGTTTCACTGTGCAGGCTCTGTCTGCCTGTGAGTGAGCACAGTGTTCACAGATCATACCAGCAGTTGTTGATGTCATTTCCCATCCTCTCATTAGCAGCAGTGACCTGCACGCAGCAATAACACTGACTGTATACTGGCCACTTCATTCCCGCTTCCCCTCTGCTGTAGCTATGATCAAAACGAAGATGTTGCTGCACTATTTTTGTCACCCGGAAACGTGCGGTCCCTGTAGACCCGTAACACTAAGGTAAACCGTAAAACCGGGTGTTTCCTATCTGCCAGTGAATCTCTTGCATCGGCACTGACCAACGCCGCTAAATATATAACTTAAGCTAAATTCATTTAACTTGCAGTTGCCAATAAACCCAGTCATCGTTATTTTTGAGGTTTAATATTACAGGGGTGCCAAATTTCACGCATCTGGCGTGTGAAACCCTACAGCCTATTTAGAAGGTAATAAAACTGTTACACACATGTGAATGCGTGTGTGCAGACTTGTCTGATTGAAAATCTCACTCCAGCCAGCTGACCACAGTTGGCCACCCTGATGTTACTGTGGCTATTCGGGGCACTACTGCCACTTTTGAGAATAAACAGTAGTAAACTGTTCGATCGGATGCCCCGAACTGTGGGGTATGTAGGCTAGTTCAAAGTTATTGATTGGAAGCCTGCGACTCCAGTTCCAGGTATTATACGCTATTCATGACTACAATGAGTTTTGATTGCTCTCACATTATAAAAAAGATACTTTTTGATTATGTGACTCATTCAGTGGACAGTTATTTAATATGTAAAACTATTCACTGTTGCTTTTCTCACCGTTTTTCATGAAATCTTGATAAAGGTGATTTGTATATTCTCTTAAGTCTGCCTTGTATAAATGATGCTTCTGTCATCGAGTGGTGTGAAATGTGCATCGCCCCAGAAGGTCCAGAAGGCAGTTTATCGTGTAGCTCTTCTAGGAATAAATGATAATTAAGGTGACCGTCGCCTTTGTCCTACTTTTAAACCGAGTTACACGAAACAGGTCAATAGCTGCTTTTTTCTGGGTTATAAATTCTCACCGAAGTTGTTAGTTAGCTGGTGATTCACAGCCAGCGGGTCCGTTTTAGTGGGGCAGCAGTATAGTTGGTTTAAAACAGGCCTGTGACTGACTAACTTCGCGTTAAAGTGCCTTATGACTCACCGTCGCTTTTGTGCAACGTTCGGTTGTATAATCATTAAAAGGTGCGCCCTGAGATTGCTTTGTATAAATCGACTTTGTAAGGATAAAGAATCGCAGGGGGGGTGTGTCACAGATTGCAAACATTGAGGTTTGCCAAATGCAGAATTTCTCCCGTTTTATCATTAGCTTATAGCTAGCGCAGACTTTTTTTAAGCTTCTAAAGCCACCTGTAAATCTGTAGCCCTCACACTGTTTTGCCACAAACATTTTATTATAACCGGTGCTGCCTGACAGATATTCGTTGTGTAAGCCAGGCATCAGCAGGTCTTTGACTGGCGTCAGAAATGCAGCCGTTTGGAGTGTAAACGGTAGGGGAGCCCCGCTCACGTTAAGCTCCGGTCGGCTTGTATCTACTGGCACTGACAGCTGGAGATGGCGGCCTATCACTCACTGCAGCTGCAGGTTTGCTGGGGGACATTGGCGCAGTGGGGGGTGGGGATGGGGGCTTTCTGCTTCCCTAACCTGCATCCCCCCCCATACAGTCCCATGTCTCCAGCTGGATGCATGCTGGGGGCCACAGGTAAATGCAACCCAACAGTCCGTCATCTCGTACTCTAGATCAGGGGTGGGTAATCTTATACCTGCAAAGGGCCGGTGTGTATGTGGGTTTTCGCTGCAACTCCCTAGTTAGTCCTCACAAATTAGAGGACTGATTGGCTGAAGAGTCCTCACACCTGGGTTTGAACAGCTGACCTACAGGTTATCCCAAAAACCTGCATACACACCGGCCCTTTGCGGATAAGATTGGCCACCCTACTGTAGATGTTACCCCACTGCCAGGAGCAGAGGGATGCATGAAGGAGAGCAGAGTAAATCCCCGCGGGTGGTTGTCAGTGACGTGGCAGCTGGATCCCAAGAGGGCGGCTAAATAAGGTACATTGCGGAAATCCAGATGTTTCCACCAGGAGGAACCAGTGGTGCGGTGACGGGGACCTGTGTCGCTCTCTCCCAGCCTCCCTGTCAGACCTGATCGTGCCTCATAAACAAAGACGGACTCCCCCCACAAAGCGTGGCCCCCATCGCTGTGTTTTACTCACTGTCCCTTTAAAGTGATTTATAATCAGTTGAGATCTTACTCCGGATGTTACCCCAGATGTTACTCCGGATGTTACTCCAGATCTTACTCCGGATGTTACCCCAGATCTTACTCTGGATGTTACTCCAGATCTTACTCCGGATGGCTGGGTAGATGCACCGCTGTGGGGAAGGCGGTTGTTGTTACTTCCCATCATGCAGTGCAGTACCTTTCACGGTTGTAGCGAGAGCCGTTCCTATTGGCCCATTTGGGGGGGGTGTCCCACGACGTAGCATGGCCCATTATTAACTCCGTACGCAGTCACTGCTGACGTCTTCTGCTAATTACCATACCGCACAAGGGTCTGATTAGACTACTGACCTGATATTAGCTCGGTAGAGGAGGGTCATTATGACAAGGACAAATGGATGAAGAGTCCCTTAGGGTGGGCAGTGGGGAACAGCCTGGACCCTTTAAAAGTAACATTACTCTTTCTCCTGCTCTCACTTCTCCTCTCTCTCCCTCTCTCTCTCATTCTCTCTCTCTCTCTGTCTCCTCTCCTCTCTTTTTCTCTCACAAGAAAGTGTTGCATGATAAATTTTCACGCACATCTTTGCAATGATGTATATAGCTGTGTAAAGAAATGGTAGTGCTGTCTGTCTGTCTCTCTGTTTGGCCTTCTATCTCTCTCTCTCTCTCTCTGTCTGTCTGTCCATTCCTTCTATGTCTTTCTCACTTACTTGTCCCAGTACCCTCCGCTAGTTCCCTTCTTTACTGGTTGTCTGGTTCCCGCAGGGAGATGGTTAATGCCTGGTTTGCTGACAGAATCCACTCCATCCAGTCCACCCGCGAAGGATCTAGAACCCAGGCAGAGCAGTGCGTGACCCCACCCCCTACCGGTGGCCCCGCCCCAGGCACGCCCACCCGGAAGATCTCGGCATCGGAGTTCGACAGGCCGCTGCGGCCCATCGTGGTGAAGGACGCGGAGGGCTCCCTGACTTTCGTCAGCGACACGGAGCGCGTGCAGATGCCGCTGAGGAACCAGCGCGTGGAACCCAGTGCCGGGGGGGCCCCGGGAGGCGGGGGCGATCGCTGTGGCCAGCTGCTGGAGCTGGTCCGCGAGGTCTCCAGCCACCTGGACATCACCACGCTCTGCCACAAGATCTTCCTGCACATCAACGGGCTCATCGCCGCTGACCGCTACTCGCTCTTCCTGGTGTGCGAGGACAGCTCCAACGAGAAGTTCCTGCTGAGCCGGCTCTTCGACGTGGCAGAGGGCTGCACGCTGGAGGAGGCCTACAACAACGGCATCCGCCTGGACTGGAACAAGGGCATCGTGGGACACGTGGCAGCCACGGGGGAGCCGCTGAACATCAGGAACGCTTACGAGGTACACCCTGCCGGGGTGGGGGGGATGGGGGGTCTGAGGTCATTCCTGTTGGGTTAGGGGTTATGCCACCCCCGACTTTTGTGGTGCCTGTGTGCCGATATGGGACACCAACACGGAGGATTGAAGAACGCAGACCGCAGACATATCAGAGTTATACCACAGCAGAGGCCTGTCAGCCTGTGACTGTGAGGCAAATGTACACACTTACAAGACGGGATAAATCTGTGCTGAGCTCATGGAGTCGCCGTCTGGGAGGTCTGTGAGGTCTGTGAGGTCTGTGAGGCAGTGGTCTTCAGCTTATTAAAACATCCACGCTTTGATCTTTTTTGATGAACATGAATGTGCTTCATTTAAGTGTATAAGGAATTTACAATTACAAGAAAGCTTTAATTAATCTGCACTCGTTTGTCCCCTGCCATGTTCTGTTTTCCATTCCTCTGACCTAAGAGACCATGTGGCTGTTTGACCTCTGACCTCGCCCTGTCCTTATTTGGCAGCATGCTTAATTTTGGTCCCTTCGAGCCTGCAGTGGCTGTTTTTGGGAAGCCATGAAGTGAAATGGAAAGAGTTTCTCAAAGCGAGGATTCGTGCTGAGAAATCAGATCTGTGCTTTCGCTTTCCACGAAGAGACGATTTATATAAGCATGTTGTCTGTAGTTTTCAAAAGCTATTCACAAGGTCAGAATGGTTAAAGCAGTGAAAAACATCTCAAGATCAAATCATGCAGAATCCCCTTCGATGTCATTACACACAGACCCACACTAATGAAAGCTCTACTGTTAAATTTCAGGAAAAACAGAATAATTTAATATAACTGCAACATTTGATGAAAATGTTTAACATACACAACGTGCTTTTCTCCTGGCCACAAGCGTTTTTATTTTATCTGGCAGATATTGCAGTGAGACATACGCACTGTAGCCAGTGGGGATGTTAATGCCTTTGTTTTGAGCTCCTCCACGTCACAGGCGAAGTTTCCCCCGGCTAGTGCCTGGAACGGGAGGGTGCCCAGCATGGTGACTCCAGCCCTGGCCCGCCTTCCCCTTTTCTGGCCTTCTCCATTTCGGAGAGAGCAGCCACCCGCTGACAGGAGCAGAGGGAAGCATGAAGGAGAGCAGAGTAAATCCCCGCGGGTGGTTGTCAGTGACGTGGCAGCTGGATCCTAAGAGGGCGGCTAAATAAGGTACATTGCGGAAATCCAGATGTTTCCACCAGGAGGAACCAGTGGTGCGGTGACGGGGACCTGTGTCGCTCTCTCCCAGCCTCCCTGTCAGACCTGATCGTGCCTCATAAACAAAGACGGACTCCCCCGAAAACACGGCCCCCACAAAGCGTGGCCCCCATCGCTGTGTTCTACTCACTGTCCCTTTAAAGTGATTTATAATCAGCTGAGCGATGCGGAAGCCGCCGGACGCGACGGATCCCTCTGTTCGACTCTGGGATCATCCTGCGGAGATTTATTCATTAGTCTGTGTCTGAGTGATTCCGCCAGCAGCATTTTGGTGTTTAAATCGCTCTCTGCTTGAAAGGCGAGTTCCGCCACCAGCTGCTGCTCTGCCCTCCGCTGTATGAAGGCCGCATGCTTTCCTCCGTGTACCCATAGGCTTGCGGTGCTCACCTGTGCCCGCCCACCTGCCTGAAGCTCTTAACACTTCAATGACTTGGCTGCGATGTACGAGTCCAGTCACATCTCTCCAGCCATCTTGTGGATCCTGCATCTCCCACAAGAAGATAGGATTTTTCACAGCCAGAAGCGGGCTGAAAACCAAGATTTGTGGTCTGGATGAGTGAAAGGGAAACAAAATGCCGCTATAGTGAATCGAGCGGAGTATGTGCGTGTTTTCCCACGAGACAGCCTGTATCCATTAGCATATGTGTCTTGGAGCTCCACTCAGGATGCATGCAAGCCAAAATAATAAAGATATTATTCTGAGCATTGCTGGAGAGCGTGGTGCACAGCAGGTTGTGAGGAGCTTCTGCAGCAGAGTCTGCCCAGGGGGCTCCGGAGAGTCGTAAAAGCAGCGGTCTGACCCCCCCCCCACCGGTAACCGAGTTGCCCTCTGGTTCTACCTCTTGTGAGTCAGCCTGGCAGCCGAAAGTCCGGCCGGCTCCCGGAAGCGCGTGTCCTGTGGGGTCCTCCTTCCGTGGCTGCGTTAATTTCCCAGTAGACGAGGCGGGTGGAGAGAGGATTATCACCTCTGACAGTCGCCTGGCGTGACGTCAGCGCTAACCTTTGCTAATGAGCCCCTGATGCAGCACTCTGTCAGTCCCCCTCTGGGGCACCACCTGCTTACCTCATTTCTCCACTTCGGGCAGGTATAAAAAAAAACATCCTGGCACGGAAAAAGGTTGCTTGGTGTGCGTGGGCTGAAGGCCGAGCACGTCCGCCTTCCAGAGGTCTTCACGGATCCTCCTCATACGTCTGTACCAGGTTTTGGACTTCCTGCGTTCGAAATTAAAGTTTCATTTCATTCTAATTAAAAAATGATCCATCCTGAGGTATCTGAACGGAGGCCTTACTTCTAACAGTGTGATTATGTGGCTTCTTGGTCGGGTCTATAAAACTCGGGAAGGCGGTTACGACTGAGGCTTTTACGAGGCGGAGGTAATAGCCAAGCTGGGAGCATCTGTTCACTGTGTGGATAATTGTAGTGATCATTTTGGTGGGAATTATTTACTGGAAGAGCATAGACATCAGGCAATAAGGGCATAAAGTGGAACAGAGTCTTTTTCTTTTTGATGAGGTCGTCATGGCGGTAAGATGTTTTCCAAGAGAATTTTCTTAGTTTCCATCCGCAAACAGATGTAACGTGACAGTTCTTATTTGGAGATCCCAGCCTGGACGTTTGTCCATCACTTATCCAACTCGGTGCCTGAGTCCAGGATGAAACCGTACAATAGGAGCATTGAGGATTTCTGGACAGCTGAGCTCACGAGCAGTCCGTGCGCGTTTCATGCCACTAAAGTTGGCCAGTTCCCCTCAGCACAGATCTCATTTCACGAGTTTGTAACTAAGAATCGCGTGCTATTATTTGGGCGCAGCTTAAGTTTTTTGCTAACAGGCTGATACTTTCTCAGTGCATCTCCATGGGAAAACGCAGTGCAAACAGCAGACGGAGGGGTCGGTTAGTTTATCGTTCTCCGCGTGCACCTTTGAGGGGTCGGTTAGTTTATCGTTCTCCGCGTGCACCTTTGAGGGCTCGGCTGTCCTCTACGGAAGGTCAGGCTCTGACGCCGTTGACAAACTCCAGCAGTGGGATCCCTGTTCTCCGGATCACCGCTTGCTGGCAGTCAGGCTCGATCACACACCACATAAAAATATGAAGGTGTGTCTAAGTCATTTTCGCCTAAAGCATTTCCGTGACTCGCCCGGTTGAACGGTGTCAGTAATGGAGGCTGGACCTCTTGTGTCCTGTGGCTCCACCACGTGGATCAAGGGCGGCGTAAATTTCATGCCACACAGCGCTTGTAAACTAGCAGCCTTGTGGAATCTGCTGTTATTGGTCAGGCAAGTGTTACCTCTCCTGCCCGGATAAGAACAAGACACAGAAACCTGTTTACCAGAGATGACGGAGATTACATGATGCATTACACGCTGATCTCCAAAATAAACAAGTCGCGTTTAGCTAAGATCCTATCACGGACTCGTGCATGTTTAAATAAACATTCGTGTTAATTTTGCTGACTTTTGGGATGGATGTCTTCTGTTTGAGTAAAAGTGTTTACATGCATACTTCTAAATGAAAGGAACACGCACTCCTTTTAGCTGGTGGGCTTTGATGCCGGGGTGACCGTCTGTCCTGCCGTGCGTGTGACACGTGTTTGTGTGAGTTTCAGACTCGGGCATGTGTTTGTGCAGCTACAGCATGACTCTGGGTGGTGGGTGGGGGGGCTTATTTGCTGGTGAGGAGGCTGAGGTAAACATCAGGCACATTAGGCATGACAGAATCTATTGCATGTTTGACTATTGGGCACTCGGGTCATACCCAGTCTGGACGTGCTGTGTAAGGGGTTTCTACCCAGACCTGCGCTCCTGAAATAAGGCTGCCAATCAGTGTAGCTGTCTGAGCCAGAGAGACCGGGGAGGTCAGGAGAGACTTTCGCCTACGTTGGATTGTGTTCAACTTCATATACTCTGCAACCACTTTCTCCTTGCGACGTATCTGTGATGTGATCTTCGTATGCCAGAAGTGTGACATTCCTCCATCCAGCCGTCTCCTATAACTGCTCCCAATGGACACTAACTCGCTCACCCAGAATGTGAGCATGATGGTCACCCTGCCAATCTCCTTCTTACAGGATCCCAGGTTCAACGCCGAAGTGGACCAGATCACAGGATACAAGACGCACAGCATCCTGTGCATGCCCATCAAGAACCACCGAGAGGAGGTGACTGACGCATTCCCCGTGTATCAGGAGCCTAGGTACGATCTAACCTGACACCTGTCTGCTCTCTGTCCCCCTCTGTCATTGGCTGACAGGTTGTGGGCGTAGCCCAAGCCATCAACAAGAAGTGTGGGAGGGATGGAACCTTCACGGAACAGGACGAGAAGGTCTGTCTCAGGATGTTGCATCTGAAACGCTGTCACATCCTCTCTGCATATACTTAACATGCCCCCCCCCCCCCCCCCGAGCAGGACTTCTCCTCGTACCTGGCCTTCTGCGGGATCGTGCTCCACAACGCCCAGCTCTACGAGACATCGCAGCTGGAGAACCGACGCAATCAGGTGCAGCCTCCTCCATGGGGGGGGGCGGGGGGGGTGCCGCTGCAACCCTGCTTTGAGTATGAGAACGGCACTGATTTCAAAACAGACATGGCTGCTGCCTGCTGGGAAGGCAGATCGAGGCTTCGCCGGGGGAAACCCTCAGCCCTGCCGGGGAACCCTGTACCGCCGTATGAAGTGCCGATTGTTCTTCTGTCAGCATAATGACAAACCGAGGGGCCGTGAGGAGGGGGGTGTGTGCCCTGCGTGTGTGTTTCCTGCGTGTGTGTGTGACCTGCGTGTGTGTTTCCTGCGTGTGTGTGACCTGCTTGTGCGTGTGCCCTGCGTGTGTGTGACCTGCTTGTGCGTGTGTGACCTGCGTGTGTGTGCCCTGCGTGTGTGTGACCTGCTTGTGCGTGTGTGTG